AGGAGGAAAAGGAGCATTTATGGAGCACCTGCCATTTGCTGCATTCTGCTCAGCTCTACTTCTTACTATCTGTTAGCCTCACTCTCTGCAGACTAGCAGGAGATGAGACCAGACCGGGTAACACGCCCAAAGCACCACTGTGGTGGGGTAAGGCTTCCAATCTGCTCCTTCTGACTTGAAGCACATTCCTTCACCATGTCACTTCCTCCTTGTCAAACAAAGGAAGACTCTGCCCTAGCTTCAGGGTTTTGTTTTGTTTTTTGACATGGATTCTTGCTCTGTTGCCCAGGCTGGAGTGCAGTGGTGCGACCTCTGCTCACTGAAACCTCTGCCTCCCGGGTTCAAGCAATTCCCCCGTCTTAGCCTTCTGAGTAGCTGGGATTACAGGCACGCACCACCACGCCTGGCCAATTTCTTTCTATTTTTAGTAGAGATGGAGTTTTACCATGTTGACCAGGCTGGTCTCAAACTCCTGAGCTCAGGTGATCCACCCACCTTGGCCTCCCAAAGTCCTGGGATTACAGGCATGAGCCACTGCGCCTGGCCTCTAGCTTCAGTGTTAACCTTTGTGCTGCTTCCTGTACCCCATGAGGCTGAGCATGAATAAGGAGCCAAGTTTCTAAAGAGTCTCCAAACTCAACAGGTACAGAGATACTGCCCTCAGCTCTGTAAGTGTCATGTAAGTAGCGATGTTCCACAGTTTTCTTACAAGTCATGATTCATAAGCCTAAACAGGAGCTTTCAGCCTTTGTGGATCTTCATTTCCCCAGCCTAATCCAGGACTGGGTCCAGCCAAATCCAAGACGCAGAGAGAAACATTCCCACTTGGCTCCTTTCTGTTCAGTCGCATGACTTGGTGTATGTGGATTTAAAAGTCTCTCTATTATAAAATGTAAAGGCTGCAGAAGTTATCCCACTGCTCCTAAAGAATTACAGGTTGAGCGGGCTGGCATGGTGGCTCACATCTGTAATCCCAGCATTTTGGGAGGCCGAGGCAAGCGAATCCCCTGAGGCTAGGAGTTCAAGATCAGCCTGGCCAACATGCCAAAACCCTGTCTTTACTAAAAATACAAAAATTAGCTGGGCGTGATGGCATGCACCTGTAATCCCAGGTACTCAGGAGACTGAGGCAGGAAAATTGCTTGAACCTGGGAGAGGGAGGTTGCGGTGAACAAAGATCATGCCACTGTACTCCAGCCTGGGCGACACGGCGAGACTCCGTCTCAAAAAAAAAGAATTACAGATTGAGTATCCCTAATCTGAAAATCCAAAATGCTCCAAGATCTGAAACTTTTTGAGTACCAACATGACACTACCATGGAAAATTTCACACATAATAGTACTTTAACTTTGTTTAATGCACAAATGTATTTAAAATCTTTAGCCTCCATGTTTAAGATATATATGAAACATAAGTGAATTTTATGTTGAGATTTGACTCTCATCCCAAAGATAGCTTATTATATGTAAATATTCCACAATCTGAAAAAATCCAAACACTTCTCATCCTAAGCATTTCAGATAAGGGATATTCAAACTATATAAACAAGGTTGCTTACATTAGCCAACCAGAAAAACAACCAAAAAACACTTTACCTTTTCCAAATGCCCATGTCCTCACTCAGCTCTGATCATCAGTAACTCCATTGATCACTGTGTGCTTTCATTCTTCCTGTCTGGTGACAGCTGTCCCGATGGGATGGGCAGAGTGTCAAAGGCTAGCCAGTAAGTTTCCTGTCACCTAAGAAAGCAACAGCCACCAGTGATCACTGTGTCCCCATTCAGGGTCCCACAGGTCTGTGTAGTCACGCTGTCAGCCTTAGTAGCAGCATTCAGACTCAAGTTATCTTGCCACAATCCAGGCTTAACAGGGGCCTGGATTGTGCTCAAAATCACCATGAATATAAGGAGTTATTTGAGGGCCTTCCTGTCTGGTTGTCTATCTCTGGTGATGCCCATGGCTGTATGGGTCCTGGGACACTCTCCTTACCCATTCACCCACTGTGCATCATTTTCAGAAGAGTAAGCTACATCCTAATATCCCTCAATAATCCAATGTGTTTCTTTTCATCTCTGAATGATTAGACCTTCCTGGAATTCTGTTTGCAGCTGATAGGAATCCAAGTTCTAGGTTTCCTGCCAACTCTTTGGTGAAGCATTTTGCTCATTAACCACCAAAACTCACTCAGGCTGGAGTAGTCGAGTCCGCTTATCATAGGAACACATGAGTGGAGGGCAGCAGTGGGTTTGCCTGCCTTGGTGGAATCAGGATCCTTGATATAAGAAGACTATAAGAGAAGCTAGCACCAAGTAACCCAGTAGTAACCTACAGTTGCCTTTCTCAGCTGGCAATACCTTTCTCAGCATTTCCTCCTTCAAGGAGATAGGAAGAAGCAATAACCGTAAGAAATCATCAGTATCATCATCTTAGTTTCTGATGAGGAAACTAAGTCTTCAGACTGTTAGGTATCTTGCCCAAATAGGTGGCTATTCTCAATCATCACCATCGACAATTTGCAACCAGACTATTTAGAGCCTCTGCTCTTCAAGGCTCAAAGGTTACATAGCTGGTAAAAGCAAGAGGCAGGAAGTGCTCTCAAGGCCAGCTGCCCACAGAGCCTTGGGTGGGTTTTGCTTTGTTCTTTCTTACTGTCTTTTGGCTCATTAGAAGTAACACAGGGCCGGGCACGGTGGCTCACACCTGTAATCCCAGCACTTTGGGAGGTCAAGGTGGGCAGGTCACCTGAGGTCAGGAGTTCAAGACCAGCCTGGCCAACAAGGCAAAACCTCGTCTCTACTAAAAATACAAAAATTAGCTGGGTGTGGTGGTGCACACCTGTAGTTTTAGCTACTTGGGAAGCTGAGGCAGGAGTATTGCGTGAACCCAGGAGGTGGAGGTGGCAGGAAACCGAGATTGTGCCACTGTACTCCAGCCTGGGTGACAGCACAAGACTCTGTCTCAAAAAAGTATATATACAAGCACAAGGTTAAAAAAAAAAAAAAAGAAAAATGGCAACAGTATGCCCTCTGGATGCAGCTCTGTGCCAGCCTCTGTTCTGGTGCTACACCCACCTCCATGCCAAGGGACCTGCCTGGTAGCATGAGACCCTCATATCCCTGTGGTGGCATTCCACATGACAGAATTTCCTCTGACTGCATCAGTTCTAGGAGCCCTGGGCCCTGAGTTTACCGATCAACTCCTCCACACAGATCTGGAAAGGAAATGTGAGAAAAAGTAGGACACTCCAGAAGGACACACATTGAAAAGTACATTTCCTTACCACTCCTGGTGCTGGTACTCCATGTTACTTCTCAGGGGCAGTCCTCCAACCCTCTCCTAACCCCCGAGTCCTCCTTAGACCTGCTGGTTTCCTCTACTCCCTCTAGATCCCAGGGTCAACTGGCTCTGCCCGACTCGGAGCACTTAACACGTGTTCCTAGTAGGGGGTGCCATATTCCTGCTCATCCTATCATATGCTACTTAGACTATTTCTCCAGTTCTTGAATATATGAAATGTTGTACAGAAGATCCTCAAATAATGTCATTTTGCTATAATGTTGCGAATGAAGAAAGTTGATTCCTGGCCGGGCCCACTGTCTGTGGAGTCGGCCCATTCTCCCTGTGTCTTCATGGTTGTTCTTCAAGGACTCTGATTTTCTATCACATCCCCCAGCTGGGCACCTGAGGTGAACTGGCATGTCTACATGGTCCCAGCATGAGTGAGTGGGGGTGTATGTGAATGCACCCTGAGATGGAACCGTGTTCCGTCCAGGGCTGCTTCCCGCCTGGCACCCTGAGCTGCTGGTATAGGCTCCAGCCACCCTCGACCCTGAGCTGGAATGAGAGGGTTCGAAAACAAATGAATCGATACAAATTATTGTACAATAAAAGCTTCATAAAGTCTACGATAATCATACACATGCAAGAAATCAGAGAGAAGGGAACAGACCAGCTGGTGGAGGCAGGCCTGATTGCGGTGCATGTTAGTGATTGATTAATAGTGAATTACGAGGTGGGAGGAGGCACGCCTTACGATTTTCACTTCGCGAATGTGTATTACTCGATTGAACCCACCACCACTACAACTGCTGTTACTCACTGATTCACCAAAAATTCAGTAAATAATTTATCTTACTTACATTTGTCTTTCTTAAATGTATGTATAGCTCACATTTGTTTCAATGTTTAATATTAGAAGTGTTTTGGGTCTTTATTTAGAAGGTTGGTGATGTTTTTTGACAAGAAATGTGCCATAGAAACTTAACTCTTATTAATATCAATTAGCCTGTTGTAAAATTGGTTTCTTTATGTTGTCATTTCGCTTAACGTTGCAGTTTCTGAGAGACTATGCACGACACTAAGTGAGGACTTACTGTACTTGTTTTCAACCAACCAGCACTAAGTCCCTACCGAGGACATAGCACCATATGAGGTGGTATCAGAAGTGTCTGCATTCTTCCTTGGCATGATCTTCACCTCAGAGCATCAGAACCTTGCCATTGAGATAAAAGTAGCGCTCATGAAACAGTGTCATATTAGGTAACTGCCAAGATAGGGTAGACACAGTGCCTTTGGAATCAGAGAAGGGAACAGACCAGCTGATGGAGGCTTGTCTGAAGATGGGCCTTGAAGAGCAGAGGCTCTAAATAGGCTGACTGCAAAGTGTCGATGGTGATGATTGAGAATAGCCACCCTTCATGGGCAGGCGTGGTGCCAAGCTCATCACAAGTATGACCTCTCATCCTGGAGCCCTTTGTGGAAGGCACTGCTGTTGGTCCCCATCTTGAGGTTGAGTAGGCTGGTGGTTAGGGAGGTCAAGATCTGACCTGAAGGAATATTCCAGCTGAGCCCCAATCCAGCCCATCCATGTGGCTCCCAACTCTTCCCCGTCCCTGTGCTCTCCCAGTGTGCCGCCTCCCATTGCCAGGGTGGTTGGCAGAGGTGGGGATCCCCAGCTGTATCCTTGGCACTGTGGCTGATGGCTTCATTGTCGTTCTAGGACTTCTGCCATGGGCAAGTGATGTGGCCACCCCTCAGCGCCCTGCAGGTCAAGCTTGCTGAGCCCGGGCAGTCCTGCAAGCAGGTGTGCCAAGAGAGCCAGCTCATCTGCGAGCCCTCTTTCTTCCAGCACCTCAACAAGGACAAGGACATGCTGAAGTAAGTGCCTAGGGTGGGGGTGGGGACTCAGCCCCTAGACTCCATCTGGCCTTGTGAGGTAGTCAGGTGAGAGGTACAGGTTTCCACTTCCGAGCTACTGGGCTGTGGGGATAAGGTGTGGGAGGGGAGTACGTTGCAGCAGGATCCCCTGAGAGTTAGCCCAGTGTTGTTACTGTTCCTGTTGGGTGAGATGAAGTCACCTGGCATGATGATGTGTTTAGAATTGGAATGGGGGTGTTGTATTTGCATAAATAAAACTGTATCTGGGTTTGAAGATTGTGGGAGGTGTTCAGCTTGCTAATGTTGACCCCAAGAACAGTGGAAGTAGAGGTGGGCACAGAGTCACAGGCGTAGATGGATCAGCTCTTCAGACCCCTGCTGGCAGCCAGGCCCCCAGCAGAGTCTGAGCAGTGCAAGGGCCTGGTGGCGAGTGACATTGTTCAACCCTGGAGTCAGAAAGGAATGAGAAACATGGAGAAGGAGCTGGCACAAAACTGCCCACAGCAATTTCCAAGAGCAGCCTTCTCCTGCGGCCTGTTCTCTTTTGCAGTTTCTTCTAGGTCACTGACACATGGTACATCTCAGGCCCCAGCAGACCTGAGTCTGCGGGGTCCCTTGGTAATGAGGTGAGTGCACCACTGGGAATGCTGGCGCAGGGCTGCACAGGGGAGGCGCCTTCCTTGAATTTCTTACCTTGTGCTTACCTTACTTAGTGGCGCCTTTCCTTTCCCTTTGCATTGACATTTTGAGTGGGGCATTTGCAGTTCCCAAATTTCCTTCTGAGGTTTCTTCTGACCTCTCACCCATGACCCTTGACAGGCCTGAATCCATTCTCTCCATGTTTATCACACCCCACCGTGGTCCACATATTGCATAATTTTCTAGCCTACCCACCCACCCACCACCTTAGTAGCTATGATTAGGTGTTTTCTCCAAGAGACTAGCCCAGAAATAATAAGACCCTGCTGTCCCAACTCCAGATATTCAATCTAGCAGGTATACCATTCCAGGCTTGAAGAGGATGTTTAGGAAGTAGAGTGGACCTGGGGCTCAGGGCTCACCTGTCCCTATTCTGGCTTCACGCCCTGTTAGTGCTGTTGGCCACTGTTGTTATTTGTGCACCATGGTCTGAGTTGGCCTATTTCCTGTGAGTCGTCTTATCCGTAAATGTGGTGTAAAACCCTTTGTAGGGAGAGTGTGTGGCCTCCTGTGTCCTGCCTGCTGCAGGGAAGCTCTCATGAGTAGGGGTGTAGGCTATGCCTTTTTTTTTTTTTTTTTTTTTTTTTGAGAGACAGGATCTCACTCTTTTGCCTAGGCTGGAGTGCAGTGGCGTGAACTTGGCTCACTGTAACCTCCACCTCCCGGGTTCAAGCAATTCTCATACCTCAGCCTGCCAAATAGCTGGGACTATAACTGCACGCCACCACGCCCAGCTGATTTTTGTATTTTTAGTAGAGACAGGGTTTTACCATGTTGGCCAGGCTGGTCTCAAACTCCTGGCCTTAGGTGATCTGCCCTACTAGGCCTCCCAAAATGCTGGGATTACAAGTGTGAGCCACTGTACTCGGCCCTGGTGATGCTATTTTTTTCCTGTTCTTTTTATGAGAAGACCCAGGCACAGAAGCTGCCCTGATTACACCATGAAAACAAAAGCATAGGCCAAAAGTGGGGACTCGGGGCAGCACCCTGCTCTGCCACCAGGCAAGCTTTAGGGAGTAGGTGGTGGTCCGGGATGTCTGGAAAGCCTGTGATGGTACCAGAAGCTTCCAGTTCCACAGCACAAATCTTGAATTGTAGGGTTCTGAGGGGCTTTCCACTCGCTCCTTTTGCATATAGCTCTTGGAGCAAGGTGGCTTCTTGAGAACCCTGAGTCTCTCTGCCTCAGAAGTCAGAATTCACTATTTACAGACTAGGGACTGTCTGCATAAGCCCACTTCTGGAAGAAGAGATATGAGAAGCGGCATCCTGGCAATGGGACCAAATGGGACTCCTGAACAGCATGGCTTCCTTCCTGGCCAGGCAGGAGTCAGGGCTCTTGGCCCAGGGACTCTGCTTAGGGTCTGGCTAGAAGTAGCACGGGGCCCTACAAAGGCAGGCCACCTCCAGGCCAGGGTCCAGGTCAGGGAAGGCAGGAAGGAGAAAGAGCAAATGGCCACTTCCCTTACTTCTGCTAGTTTTCTCATCTGTCAAATGGGGATATCCTAGGTGATGGGTAAGATAATGAACAGCCCTTGCCAAAGACAGAGTAAAACACCCCTTTCTTCCAGAGAGCTTTGGGCAGTGGAGTAGGCCCGAGGCCACTGAGCCAAGACGGATAAGCCAACCCCAGCCCTGGCCCCTCCCCACCTCCATATCCATGCAGAGTTCATGGGAGCAAAAGGGCTTGGCATGGGACTGTCCTGAGGCCAGGCCCTGTGCCATGGGATCACTTGACCCCACCCCCACCCCCTACCCTACTGTAGAGATCAGGGCTTAGCAGGAGGCTGGAATGAATGCTAATTTTGCAATAAAGCTATCTGAAATTAATTCTCTGAACATAAGAACCCTGCTGAATAACTTGTTCATGCATTTGTAAATACTGATAATGTTATAAAACCCCAGCTATCTGGCAGTCTATTGAGTGCCTGCTCAGTGTGGAGGTGATCCTGGCCCATCCATATTCATAGCCAATTAGCAATTAGCAGTTCCTGCAAGCCAGTACTGCCTTTGTATCTCCAACTTGGAGCCTGCTTTGAGCTAAGCTTAAGTTCCTTTTTCAGTCTTTGGGTATCCATAGCGTTTAAGAACCACCTGACCTCACTCTATAGTATGACTTTAGTATATCACATCAGGGGAACCCTTTGGAGTGTCCTGTGTTGTCTTGAATCAGGGCCATTCAGGAAACCAGCCTCGGGTTCTTGTGCATGCAGGGTGCAAGGGCACAGTTAAGCGCTAAAGAGGCCACCACAGAGCACGCATGATTCACGTGCGACCCACATCCTCTGGACAAGTCTCCTCCCATACTGGGGTAGGGACTGGAAGATGGAGGCTCCAGGAAGTGCCAGGGTCCATTCCAGTGTGGCCCAGTGGAGAGGACCTCAGTTCCATACGCAGGGGCATGTGTTCCTGCCCAGTTTGTAATTTTGCTACCTCTTAAAGTTGTTTCTTCTAAAATGTTAAATTACTGTCAACTGGGGTTGCTCTATGCAAAGAATTACAAGCAGTACGGTCTAGACTGTGAGTGCTTTGTTACCTGAGAGAGAGAAGGTGACCCTTCATAGGCCACCTGCTCAGCCCCGCACCATGTTGCTGGGGAAGACAGTGGCCCCAGCCCCATCAGGCAGGGCCAAGGGTAGAAGTCATCCAGGGACTCTGGCAAGACCCTGAACTTTTTGGTAGAAGGTTCTGATTTGGTATTGCTCCTGCTGCACTGAAAGCATCCCAGTGGAGTCTTTGCCAGGTGGGGCCTGGCGAGGCAGAGCCAGAAGGAACAGAGCCCTCTTGAGAGGGGGCTGAGGGAGGGAAGGCACTCTAGGGAAGGGGCAGGAGGGAGGGGCAGGAGCAGCAGGTGAGACAGCAGCACTCGCCTCCTGTCCAGTGCATCCTGTCCTGTGTATTATAGGTCTGTGTCAGGAAGGGACTGGTGACTTCTCAGCTCATTGCCTGACTTCAGGTGAGGAAGTGTGACTAGCCCCACTGGAGGGGGCTTTGCCTCTTCTTATTCTTCAAGAGCTATAAATTGTAAACTGAGACCTGATGGGCCCAGAAACTTTAACTCTCATCCTGTAAGACACTAGGAAGAAAGGAAGATGGCACACTGCGGTGGGGTCTCTGAGCAGGAGGATGTGGGTGTTTGTGAGACAGACATTGCAGGGATAGAGAGGCAGACACAGCACCATGCACCCCGTGGAAAGGCAAGGACCACCTAGGGACTGAGGATCCTGGGCTGCAGAGGCTGTTTGGTCTCCATGTGCTCTAGCGACTGGGGAAAGCTGCTTTTCCTTACTGATGACCTTTGCTCACAAGGATAATGGAGTCACCTTCCTGACTGCTCAGGGCTGTAGGATGGGCACATGCATGCCAGTAAAAGGGAGAGCTTAGAAGGGGGCTTAGAAGACACTGGGGCCAGGGAGTTGGTTAGAGCCCTGCATTCCACAGCGCCGCATCCACCAGTTGAACCCTCGAGGAGCTGCCTGGTGTCAGGTACCTGTGGCCTGGTGAAGTGTCTGCTGCTTGAGCAGTCTGCGGTGGTCTCTGTGCATCACCCCAGGCAGGCTTCTGCTGCTGAAGCCTTAGCTGAATCCTGCTCACAGACACACACACACGTGCTTCTGCCCTGGGAGATGGTGGCCTAGAGCCTGAGTCCAGGTGACCCAGGGAGCGGGCAGGAGGGTTTTTCATGGCTCCTGACAATTACACGCCTCGCCATGGGGTCTGAGAGTCGCCATAGAGATTTCTGTGCTCTGGTTAGCAGTGTGCCGGCAGATGGTTTAAGTAAAGCCACAGCAGCTGCTGTAATTCACCTAAAAAAAACGTCATAAGTATAAACCTGTATCCCAAGGCCATGTTCCATATGTAAACTTGTCATTCAGAATTGAGTTCCAGATATTTTTCTTCTTGTTGTCCAGTTGAGAAATTCTGTGAAGGACCTGGTAGCTGCAAGTCTCTGACTCATTTTTCCTTTTAGGAAATCCATAAAAATCGACTTCCTGCCCTCTCCCTTCATGATTCATGACCTTAACTCCCTGGGCATCACCACCTCCCAGCTGGCATCAAGAGCAGGGGTGGTGGCGTATTTAGGGTAGTTGCAGCACTCTCCTGGTGACTGTGGGAGCAAGAGAAGAGAGTCCTGCTCTCCTGAGCAGGCCTGGGCTCCTCGTGCAGGTCACATGTGCAGGAGGCGCCACAAGCTCTGGGGGAGGGAGGCCCGAGCAGCAGTGACATGCTGAGTTCCAGAAGCAGTTGGGGCTTCAGCTGTAACTGAGCAGGAGCCAGGCTAACAGCCTGGGAGATCTCACCAGAAGCCCCAGCAGATGTGCAGGGAATCGCAGGATTAATGTTGGCAAGGGAAGGAAGGCCCCAGGCAGTTGGTTAGCTAGAGAAAGACAAGGCAGGAGTACGAGAGAAAATGATGCTTTACACACACATACACAGGCATACACATGCATGCACACAAATACAAGTAAATAAACATGCTCCACACACATGTTCGTGTACACATATGCATACATACACATACAAGCCCATCTGGAAGCTTCTCTGAGGCAACGAGAAACCTCAAGCTCCCCATCTTCATCCCCTCCATGTCAGCAGAAAAATGAGACTTCCATGAACCAAGTGAAACAGAAATGGTTGGTGTGTAAATTCATACCACTGGTCAAGCAAGAGGGGAGGTGGTATAGCCCATCCGGTGTCTGCCAAGGCAGGGTGATGATGACGGTGACCACGATCCTAACAATAATGATAGCTGCCATTTATCGACTTACTTAGAGCTTGACTCTGCCACATGCTGTAGAAGCACTAAATTCCTGCAGTAAAGGATGATTTATCCCTGTTCTATGGAAGGGAATCTGAGCCACAGAGTGGCTTACTCATTTGTCCAGGGCCACACAGCTCCTAAGAGACAAAGCCAGGACTCAAACCCAGGTCTGCCCAGCCCCCTGACACCACCTTCTCTGGTCTCAGGTACAGCATGGGTTCCCACCTAGCATTCATGCAGGACACCAGGTGAGGCCACCGCCTCCTTCGGGAACCAAGGTGGATGGGGACAATCATCCCAAGTTGGAGGGAAAGATATGAGATAACAGGCCAAAACTGTTGGGAATGGAAACATCAGAATATCCTTGGCCCCCCAAGCAGTGGTCCCAGCCAAAGGAAGCAAAGCCACCAGGCTCCACAGCCTGAGACCACTCAGCTGTTGGGAGAAGACGGCAGAGGAGCAAGAGTGCAGGACTGGGGAGACAGGGCCTGCATTCAGGCCTTCTCTGCACATCCTGAAGCCTCAGTTCACCTGCTCTAACTGGGGTTACCATTGCCATGGCTGAAGGGTGGCTGCAAAGACCCAGGGAGGCGATGCCCCGGGACAGCACCTTCTGTCTGATTGCTTTCCAGCAAGAGGCTAAGGCCATATAACGGGAATTTTTTTTAAGCCTTTAATTAAAAAGTTAAACATACTTAAAAAAAAAAAAAACATGTAAATAATGCTTAGCTTTGCCCCATTCTCACTTCTTGGAAGCAGCCATTGCTAAGGCATTGGCATGTAACTGTCTCAACTTGCAGCCTTCACCTCTCATGTGCACACCGCGGGCTGATTGCTCTGTGCTTCCCATTCTGGGACTCACCTTTCCCCAGGATGACTCTCCTGCTCCTCTCTTCTCCCTCATTCTTTTTCAATGGCTGCAGGGAACTCTAAAAGCACAGAAGGGCCATGATTTATTTGGCCATTCCCTGCTTGGTGAGTATTTGGGTTGTTTCCAGTTTTTCTCCATTGCAGACAAAGCTTCACTGAGCAGCCTCAAACACACACCCCTGCACACACTCCCTGGTGCACACATGCCTTCCTGAGTCTAGATGCCTAGAGGTGGAGGATTGCAGACGCAGAGGGTGGGCACCATTTCATTTCTAAAGCAGGACAAGACAACTGAACATCCCCCCATGCCTCAAGATGGGGGCTCACAGGGCCAGTGACGAGGACAGGCTTTGTCCCTTCATCACCAACCCTTGTGCCTTTCTCTTCCTCTTCAGGTACAAGGTAACCTGCCAAAGCTCAGAGCTGGCCAAGGACATCCTGGTGCCCTCCTTTGATCCCAAGAATAAGCACTGTGTGTTTCAAGGTGATCTCCTGCTCTTCAGCTGTGCAGGCGCCCACCCCAGGCACCAGAGGGTCTGCCCCTGCCGGGACTTCATCAAGGGCCAGGTGGCTCTCTGCAAAGACTGCCTATAGCAGCTATCTGCTCAGCCCTGCACCATGCTGCTGGGGAAGACAGTGGCCCCAGCCCCATCAGGCAGGGCCAGGGACAGAAGTAATCCAGGGACTCTGGCAAGAGCCTGAACTTTTTGGTAGAAGGTTCTGATGTGGTATTGCCCTTGCTGCACTCCGAGCAACCCAGTGGAGTCTTCACCAAAACAAAACGAGAGCATATGTCAGGCCAGGAGCCTGGCTTGTCCCTGGCACAATGTCATTTCTGTTTCTCAAGGAGCAACTGTGGGAAGACTGTCACTGCAGCTGCTCCAGGGCAAAAGAAAGTCTCAAGAGTCCTTTAAAGCAAAACAGAAGGAATTGAGCTGATGGGAAAGAACTTTGAATGGGAACATTCCTAAACCCATTAACTTATTTATTCGGGTGGGAGGGAGGGGACCACGGGAGGGAGAGGAGGGATTGATCACAGGCTTCTTTTATTTCCACTGTTAATCATCCACCTTCACTATACTGTTCTGTCTGCTTTGGGCAGGGTGCAGGAGAGAGACCATGTGCCATGGGACTGGTGGCGTGTTCAGGGACAGCCATGGGGACTTGGCGGCTCAAAATGGATGGCAGCAGAGCAAAAGAAACTTTTGTTTTGGAAGCACAGCCGAACTCCCCAGGGCATTGTCATAGATGGCGCCTAGAGCATGGGCTGCTTCAGTCGGGGGGACGTGCCTGTGTTGTCCAGAGAGTCCAGCCAGAGACTAAAAAGGAGATGAGGCCCCTTTCCTCCATCTCTCCATGACCAGACACATACCTTGGCCATAATTTATTTTAGAATCCCTTTGGGAAAGAAATACAGGATTGAGGGATTTTGGAGTTTCTGGTAAACTCACCTCCCTCCAGCCCTGCTATGAGGAGGAAAGTAGAGATGAAGGACACACACTGCTCATGGACTTGGAGAGGATTGTCTTTGAGCCAAGATGTGGACAGGAGTGAACTTGGTCCTTAAGAACGTGTGGCACAACCGGAGCTGGGCTCCTGACAGGTGGGCTTGTGTTGTGTCCCCTCTGATGGCACCAAAGTCCAGGGAAGGGGGCTCTTGATGTCTGCTGGGGAAGCAGGAGCAGCTCAGGATGAATGCAGTGCCCTGTCCTGGCTGCTTCCCTGAGGGTGTAGCTCGCAAAGGAGGGAATCTGGTGCTGGCTTTTCCTTCAGGCAGGATCACTCTGACTTGTTGAATAATCAGTCAGCAGGTTGACCTGGTCAGACACACTGGAACTCACCTTCCACACCCTGGACCCCCCATGCTCTGCCTTTGTGTAAGTCCCCACCCCACCGAATCATTGCTGCCATGTTCTGTACAAGTTTGTAAGTTTCTGGAAAGCCCCTGACATCTCCATGCTGATGCGAGTGAGCCCCCTTCTGCCTAATGTGAGCAGTTGGCATCATCCACTTGGCCCCTGCTGGGCACTTCAGTCGCTCAACGATGTGCTCTGCGCCAGGGCTTCCAAGCACCCTGCCTGCTAACAGAGGGCAGCCTGGTGGAGCCCTCTGCTGGGCAGAAGTGATGGGCAAGGCTTAATGGCTGGTGGCTTTCAGATGTGAGAGAAAGGAAGAATTCTACTTCATGAGGACTAGAGTAAGTGTGGGGCCTTTAAGTCTGGAAAGTTACATTCTGCTTTCTCAGTTGCTACACAAATGTGCAGCCAGCCTTTTTTCTTAGGCCCACTGAGATCCCAGGGGCTCAGTGGGTCTGAATCGTACCTCCAGTATAAGAGAATGGAGGAGAGAGGGGGGTACCCGGGGCCGCCTCCACTCCTTAGGTGGCCCCTGAGAACATCTGCCAGGGAGAGTACCATGGGGAGGCCTCTGCCCTGAGCATCATCACAGGGACGCCTCCAGACCTGGCTGAGAAAAGCCTCTGCTTGGGCCTAGGAAGAAGGGCAGAAGTCCAAAGGAAACCTTGATGAGTGTGTGTGTGCGTGTGCGTGTGTGTGTACATGTGTACGTGTACGAGCCTGTGCATTTCTTTAAGCTTAAAGCAAGGGCAGTTTCCTGCAATAGGAGGGCAGATGACTGGCATCCTTGCTGTGAGGAAGAACTTTTTCCTTGTGAATGGGCATCTTGGCTGTACCCTAGGGTGTGGGAATTTGCTAGAGTTCCAGCCCTGCAACCCCTGGGCCAGTGCCGCCCTCTCCTGGGCTCTTCCGGGAGCATTGAACACTAACGATGTCAATGCAAGCATCTGACCAACAGGGGGAGCCTGTAGGCCGAGCAAAGTTTAACCCACTTAGCCACTGCTACTTAAGCAAGGAAGCTGAAAAGTAACCTTAGCCCTGCCTTGTGTTCCAAAAGCTGCAGGGATCATTTGCTGACTGCCCCTAAGTTCAAGGCCTCCCTACCTTCCCCTTCTCCAAGTCACGACTCCCACCCCCCCGCCTGGGTCAGGCAGCCCAGAAGAGCACTTTTCTGCCATTTAAAAATCCCTCTTTCGTCCGGGCGCAGTGGCTCACGCTTGTAATCCCAGCACTTTGGGAGGCCAAGGCGGGCAGATCAGGCGGTCAGGAGATCCCAGCTACTCGGGAGACTGAGGCAGGAGAATGGCGTGAACCCAGGAGGCGGAGCTTGCAGTGAGCCGAGATCGCGCCACTGCACTCCAGCCTGGGCGACAGAGCGAGACTCCGTCTAAAAAAAAAAAGTCCCTCTTTTCGTGCCCCCAGTCCAGTGTTGGCTGGAAACCTGCCGGAGTTCCACCGGGAGGGCAGCTGTTCTGGGAGCAAACAGGCCCACACTCCAATTGTTTAGGGCATTATCTGAAGAGTCAGTGACCCCTGAATGTGTTCTGACTCCCAGGCCTCCTCAGACTTGACCCAGGTCTGGTCAGTGATCCTGAAGAGGAAACTGGGGAGGGGGCTTCCATCTGCCCTGCGTAGAAGAGGAGAGGAAGGTGCCCCTGACTGTGGGCTGGGAGCCTGTGGAGGTTTTGCCATTGCTGATCTTGATAGAATCCTAAACCGATTTATAGCTGATAACAGTTCCATGGGGAGAGAAATCCTAAGTTATGATTAATGTTTTTCTGCGCTATAATGTCTTGCCTGTTTTTTTGGATTATTTTCCCCATTGTGATCCTAAGCTCTTAAAAAACTTGAGAGAAAACATCTAATTTACTAAAAGAGAAAGCTTTCCATTGAAAGGTAAATACTTTGAGGAGTAAAAAGACTTCTTTGAATGCCAGTAAACACCTCATTTATTTGGTGTACGCAGTTTGATTTGCACATGTATAAATGGAGATGCTTTTTTTCATTTTTGCTTGGACTGGGTTTTTGTCACTGCTCATTACAGTTTGCTTTTTTGTGTGTTTGTTGCGCGTTTGGAGATATTAGTTTCTTTGGTGATATTTGTTTCCTTGATGTGCCTTTTCACTTTTCTTTGGGGTTAGTTTTTGGAATCTGGATGCTGTTGAAGGGCAATAGCAGACTCCTCCAGCTAGGAGACAGGACATGTTCTTGAGTCACTGTAGCTGTTCAGGCTGGACACCAGAAGCTCCCTGCAGCCACCCCGCCAGGCCATAGCATGTATGCATGTGCACTTCCACCCCGAGTGGAGGGTGTGAAGCCTTGAGAACCTCAAGAAAGGGCTGGATTCTGCCATACCTTTCGGTCTACCTTGGGACTGCTGGTTGCCAGTGTGTCAGCCGGCCTGTGTTCCCTGCCACCCACGCACTTGCTGAGGTGTGGCTGAGGCAGAAGCATGTGAGCAGGTGCATCCACAAAGTTCAAGGCCCTGCTTGGAGAAGAAATACTTCAGCATCATGACAGGGAAAGAACGTGCACCTTTTTTGTTTCTTTAGTGAATGCAGGACTTAATGAAGGTGAATAATGAGCTTCCCCAAGGCCAGTTCAACTCACTGGCAGGGTTGACATCAGTATGATGTGTTGGACTGAAACTATATGTCTATAGGTAGGTACATGCCTTTTAGAGCAGACCCCGGTGGCCACCCCATTTCTCCAAAGTGGTTTACCTAGCTTGTGTATATAATTAGACATTGCCACCCTCACCTCTGGCCAAAAATTGATTTAAAAAAAAAAATCTATTTTGTTAACGACAGGCTCTGTTGTATGTTACTATCCTAAGCCTGGATTATTTTATTTATTTAAAAGTATTGTCATTTCCATATTGGCTTTATTCTAACCCCATCCATCCCTGTGGGGCTGCAGAGCATCTTCATGTGAGTAGACAGATGGACATAAATAGATTCATGCTCATTTAGGAAGCTGAGAGTTTCATGAAGCTGAGGGTGAGTTCCTGTGATTCTTGTTGGCTTCAACAAAAAGTGGGAGACCAAGTTTTTATAGCAAAAGACCAAATTAGTTGTAGAGTCTGGAATGCAGAAAAAAATCACCCTAGCTTTCTTATAGCACTTAGGGTTTTGTGAGGATTCAGTGTTTAGCACAGTGCTTGGCACATAGTAAGCCCTAGTAAATGTTAAATATTGTTATTAGTATTTCCTAAAACTTGAGAAATAAAGAGCTGAGCTCTCATTCCCTTCCTATTGATTCAAAAATACCTACATGAAAACATGATTCCAAGTTGATTGAATGTTGTAGGAATTACTGGTTTAGAGTAGCCCAGTTCTCGGCCTACCCTGCTGGTTGGGATTTTACTGTATTCTTGAATGCACTGGTTTGAAAATATGCCAGACTTCAGCCCTCAAGGAAATAAGGCTGCAAGAATTTATGAACTCCAGCTGGAAAGGGTAAAGGTGACCTTTGGCTGGCAACATACCGGACCTTACCCCACTGATGTCTTTCAGAACATTCCAAGGGTTTTTCTCAAGGAACATTTTTGAGCTAGAAATTAAAATGGGTTCTCTGGCAGACTGCACCCCTTGAGTCAAAGTTAACAGTATTCCTTTGAATACAGTAAGGGAGGCTTTTCTGCGTTAAGGGGGACCAATCGAACTTACGCATTCCCCGCCGCAGGTCCCTTTGCCGCCCCTACAGGCTGGGGTGGCCCCTCCTGTTCTCAGGGATGGGACTCCCAGGCTGGTTAGCTCTGCATGTTTCCATCAAATTAAAGGTTATTCCCTGGCCTCATCCCGGAGAAAATCAACCCCACCCCGCCAGCTGGGGGCAACAGGGCAGGGATTTTGGCCTCCCAGAACAGCTCCTAGAGGCTGCTCATGATTGAATGGTTTTCCCAAATCACCTAAATATTGGTTTGCTTTTTGTTTTGGGAGAGGATTTGGCCTCTTGCTTCCCCAGTAGATTGAAAGTTTTATCTCCTGCCCTGTCTTGGCACAACTCTGGATAGATTGCAGGTTGGAATTTGCTGGAGTTTGGTGTCTTTTTCAAATTCCTTTGGATTCTCTTCAGCCAAATCAGCAGTCTCGTCCTATGGATGCAGTGATTGCAATTTCCCATCTGCAAAGCATCTCTCTAGCTCAGATTTTGTGGAGCCTTAAAATACTCCCTCGCTGCCACCCTGACCCCACAGCTGGAGAACCCTGTGCTTATGTGGTAGACAGGGCCACTGTTGATGGAGGATGGCGGGGAAGGGGTGGTGCTCAAAGGATCTGTGGTGCTGGAGGTCTAAATGCCTCTCAGGACAGTAGGTCAGGAACCTCAGAGCAGCTTCATGTCTGCCAAAGCTGAGAGGGAGCAAACTTGGGAAGCATTTTGCTCACTGTCCTACCCAAGTTTTAATAACATAATAGTTGATGCCAAAGGAGATGGTGACGTCCCTTCCACTGCAGTTGCTGTCACAACCTTGATGTCTTTAAGCTAATGGCCATTTGCATCTGTGTCTTCAAACAGATCCTGGTTACAGCCATTTTCTATCGTTCACTTCTGGGGTTAAGTAATGCAGGGTTCTGCAAACAAGGTGTCGCTGTCCAAATGTACTGTACTGGCATAGAGAGCACTGCTTTGTTTTCCACTGTTGTAGAGAAAACTAGGGAGAACTTTATTTTTCAATAAACTTTTCTTGTGTGACAGGTGGAAGTGATTTTTGGGGGGCAGGTGCATGCAGGGTCACCTCCAGAACACAGCTGAGCTGCTGTCTAGGCACATCCCCAACACACAACTTCCCCCAGCTGCCTTTCACGGTTTGCAGCACACTGTTGAAACTGCTGCTAGGAAGACAGGAAGGTGTATGTAAGGAGTGGAAAGGGGAAGGTTTTACTACTGTGTATTCTTTCCCTCGTATCACATCCACCACTGCGCATGTTAGGGCACTCTCCTTGCGCTGCCTTCCCCTAGAAGGAAAGTCAATTAGAAAGTGAACTGCTAAGATTTTGAGAAAAATCTTTAAGAATGAGCTAATGGCCCTATAAGGGGCTGAGCACCAGCATCCATTGGACCTGGAATCGATTTCTCCCTCAAGAGCAGCTTTTGAGCCAGGAAGCAGTGAGCCATGAGCAGTTGGTTAGGCACATGCCTTGGAAACAGGGAAGGTCTAGTCCATGCCCCACCCAACAGTTTGTCTGCAGGTGACATTGGCCCTCATCTGCATGGCCTCTGAAGCTGGCGGGCTTCCTGGCAACTGCCCAAAACAGAGACCCCACGCAGTTCACATAGCATGTTAGAACACAAGGGAAAGCCAAGTACCTGCGTTTAGGCAACGCGACCAGTGTAGCTTCCCCTCCCTGTGCTTCCATGATGTATAGTAGACACGAGAAAACCAGCGGAAGAGAAACCTACAGGATCCTACACTTCCCAAACTTGCTTTAGTTCCTGTTACATATTAACATCCATTGACATATTCCTCAGTACTGCTGGAGAAGCCACCTGAAAGCATGGTACTGGACCAAAGTTCCATGACCTCACAGAACAAACTCCCTTCCCTTCACCAGCATGGAGGGCAGACAGGACCCCACAGCTGGAACAAGGCCTGGGCGCAGCTGTCCCTCAGCTCCAGGTGCCAGGTGAGTGTGCGGCCCCTACCTGAGTGGTCAGAGAGGGCAGCCTGCACCACAGTCCATCAGGGTCTCCACGCTCAGTCCCCCTAGGCACAAGCTCCCCCTCCCCCTCCCACATCCTTCAGCCACAGTGGAAAACCTCCCCATGTGTTGGTGCCGCATGGTGACAACTCCCAAAGACTGCCTTCCCGTGCCATACAAAACAGGTAAAGGTCTTTATTGGTCAGCCACTACTGCCTGGGCAAGCAGTGGTGTGAGAGGTACAGAACGGTGCAGGTTGGGGAACACTACAGAATCTAAACCTACCGTGACATCAGCTGAGAACGTCTTGTTCCTTACAGAGGGAGCGAACCATCTCCACAGACTGTAATGTACCATTACCACTTAACACAGCATATAGATATATGCATATACGGATAGATTCTAATTATTTATTACAAATAAACTTTCACATCTCTCAAAAATGGATCCAGTTTTCACATGGATGTTCAGGTTCTGAATGTACAAGAAAGGGTCATGTGCTTATTTCATTCGTCCATGCAAAGCTTATACGTATATCACTAAGTACTTTAAAAAATAGAATGGTCTCCTTTTGAGCAAATCTGTTTAGATTTAAGATTAGTAAAACAGTATGAAACTAATGAGATACACTGATAGAAATTAGGAAGTGACATACTGATGATTCTGGGTATGTAAAGGGTGAGGGGTACAATCTTCCCTTAAGACCTGCCAGGAGAGGAGATACTTGGAACCAGGAGTGGCGGGGCCACCCAAGCTGGAGGAGGTGGGTCTGCTCAGTGCTATGCAGCGCAGGCTCAGAGCACCACCGGAGACCTCTCTGCCGAAGGTCTCATCCTACCCGTGAGAACCATCACATTCCAGAGAATTGAAAACGCCAGTCCCAGCTGGAGACGGGGAAGCAGGTCCCCCCATGGGCACTGTCCTAACATGTTTGATGGGGACGGCAGGTGACGGGGGCAAGGTAGATCCACCTGGCTGGGCAGACCTTGTCTTGTAATGACAAACCATGTGAAAGAAAACTTCCAAAAAGAAACCAGATGTTCAGTTAAATATTGGCACCCTTTGCCTATGTGGAAACTTCTCATCTCGATGGTCTCATGCGGACGCTGGCCCCCTTCACTCAAACATCTCGTAGTGACGTGTCTGCCTCACCCTCGGCACCATGTCGATGAGGAGTCTGCAAAGATGAAGACAGACAAGGTCACCTCCACGGCATGGGGCTGGAGAGCTTGGGGAAGCATATTTTCATTTTCTTTTTTCTGAGATCATTCACATACCATAAAATTCACCCTATGTGACTGGGTGGTTTTTAGTATATTCATCCATTTGTGTTGTTATCTCAGAAACCCCATGCCCCCTGTACCATTCACTCCCCCTCCTCCCCACGCTGACGAGCCGTACCCTCCTTCCGGCCTCTCTGGATTTGCCTATTGATATTTTATATAAACAATCACACAACATGTGACCTTTTGTGACTTCCTTCGTAACATTTGAGGTTCATCTATGTTGGAGCGAGTATAACAGCGCTTCATTCCTTCCTGGGGGCTGAATGAGTCTGCTGCATAGATCTACCACATTTATCCATTCATCTGTTAATGGACAAGTGGGCTGTTTCTGCATTTTGCCTATTGTGAATAACTCTGCTGTGAATTTCCTGGACAACTTTCAGGGTGGAGGTTTGTTTCCATCCTCCTGCAGTGTATACCAAGGACTGGAAGTGCTGGGGCAAACGGTAACTCCGAGTTCTGGCAGCACCATGGTCCATTCCCACAGCCATGGAGGAGGGTTCCACTTCCGCCACGTCCTCACCGACGCTGGCAGTTCTCCCTCTTTTTGATGATAGCCATCCGACCTTTCCTTGAGCGATGGAAGCATTTTAACATTTAAAAGCACAGCACCCTTTAGAAATGGTTCTCTGAAAGGCTAGCTCCAGCTTGGGTGCTGAAGCCCGTGTCAGTGATGCCAGCAGGGCCTTTCTGCACTGACTAGTCCCCTTTTGCAAGAAGTTCTCTAAGGCTAGGGAAGCAGCCTCTGGCCAGCACACTGTCACATCCCCCACTTGTGGCAGGAGGGGCTCCCCGTGTGAGGAAACCACACAGAGGTGCTTCCCTGGGGCATCGTGAAGACTGTGAGAGAGGAAGGAGCACAGATGTCAGGACACAAAGAGTCCTAAAGGCATCAGACGGAAGTCAAGGAGTGCCTTTGTGGCTTAAAGGCCTGATATCTCTTGTCCTTGCCTCACTTCCGTGCCAGCCCCAAGGATATCTGACCCCTGCTGGGTGCTTTTCCAGTCAACTGACACTGGTCGGGCTCAGGAGGGGCACGGGTATAAAACGTGAACTTCAGAAGCCTTCTGTCATTTCCTGACTGGGGAAGGTGGTGGTGAAGGGGCACTTCTAGCTGCCAGGAAAGCAAAGAGGAAAGCACAAGAACCTACTTGACCCCATAGGCAAATATGGTGAGGCCAATCAGAACGCCTATGCTGCCGTCCAGGTACCAGACCGCCGAGTCATGCTTGAACACTTCGGCACTCAGAAGAATGGAGAAGCCCATCACGCCGCCCACAAGGGAGTTAAACCCTGCAAAGGAAGCAGAGAGAGGCTAGATGGCAGTGCCAAGCAATCCCAGAAAATTACCCAAATGCCAGTCCTGTCTCCACATAACTGGAGCATGTGCTGGAAGGAACGGTGCCCAAAGCTCTCACGAGTGATAGCCACCACCTGGGCCCATCAAGTCTCTGCTCAAATGTCACCAGATACCTCCCAGAATAGAGCCGTCACCCCCATCATCCTGTACCTGCTTTATTTCTCTTCCGGGCACTGATGCCGTGTGTGGTTTATAGCTGGGCTCGCCCATGCCCGCTAGAACGCAAACCTCCTAGAGGCAGGGGTGTGGTTTTCTGTTGAGTCCACAGTCCCCAGGACAGTTCCAGGCTCACAGTAGACATTCAAATACTTGGGGACTCATATCTGAGTGTCTGCTGGGCCAGATTCCGAGTTGGGCGTTCAGGATGTGCAGTTACCTATAAACCTTCTCAATCGTGTGACGTCACATTAGCATCATCATCCCTGTTTTCCGATGAGAAAACTAAGAATGAGGTTAAAAATATATTGATGGGGGTTATCAGGATTGAGAAGGACTGGGATCTACCCAAACCTGCATCCTTTCCCTCCCGAGCCTCCTCTAAGTAACCTGAGGTTTTTTCCTTTCCCTCCAGAAGAGAAATGGAAAGTCTATTATGCTAAGTTGTTTGCAAAATATTGGCTACATGGTTGGAGAAATGGCCATAAAAACAGAACTGGAGCTACTAGATAGCGACTGCCATCTCTTTGGGCTCCCAGCTTGCTTCTACTTTACCAGAGCTGTCAAAGGCCACACAGGAAGGGAATGGCTTAGGGTAGCTTCTAGGGTCTCCCCGTGAAGGACACCAGCTCCTCCCCTGCCCCAACACACTGGTGGCCCCAAAAGAAGCTCCAGGTCCACGCTGCCCAAGGAGGCCCTGCCAGTAGGTTTGTGCAGACCCGTAACATTCCACACCAGGCTAGGCTTCCCCCCGGGCAGAGGAAGATTGCCGGGCAGGGGTGACCTGAGCAAATCTGTCTACTCAGGATCCAAGGCGGAGATGCAATGGCCGCTCACAGGAAGGGAGGATGAACCGCGGGCCTGCAAGGGCAGCCCAGGGACTGGCCTGTGCCCTGCAACGCACTTGGCAGTATGCCCTTCTCTCCCCTGTGCTCAGGACACCTAGGTTTGGTCAAAGATACCTCATATTCCCCACACCACATCCACCACCCACCTGTAACTGTTCCTACAGTGCCCTGCTCCCCTGCCCACCTCAAAGGGCTTGGTTCTTGCAATGCTCCTCCCTTCCTCCTTCCCAGATTGGATCGGATTGTTCCTACTGGAATTAACCCACCTTCCCATCCCCATTGAACTCTTCTTGGACCCCATGCCTCCCCCATCTCCTACTGGCCTTCCCAAAACCCACAGAAGAAGCTGCCCGCTGCCTCCACACTCACACCTCTGCCCAGATTCCCTCCTCCCCAGCCCTTC